GCACCTTCGCCTGAAGGTCCTCACACTCCGCGGCAACCCTTTTGCTCACCTCAAGCTCCTCGTCTTTGGCGTGAAGTAGCTCCTCAAGCTCACTGCATCTGCGGATAGACCGCATAAGTTCCTAATCTTTTTTCTGCAACTCCTCCATGGGGAATTAGGTACTAGCGCCCGCTCTAAGATGCTCGCACATCTCATGGCACCTGTTGCGATACTATTGATACTTCTCAACCATCTTCAGAAAAATCTCCACCCACGTCTTAGCCCTACGAGCGCTCTCGATCTCCAGAATGTAAGTCTAAAAAAAGAGAGGGAAAAAAGAGTTTTTAAAGACAAAGGTCGCAAAACAAAGAAAACAAAAGGGAACTCACCCTTAGGCCCATCACGGCCACACCACGCGACAATCTGGAGTCGTTGACACCCTGAAGAGATCCACTTTCGGTGGCGGAGCATAGAAGATCGAACTACAACAGCAAATCTACTGTGTCCTGTAGCAGGTTGAAATCCGACGAAATTTCAAGTATGCAAGAAGAGCCTTCCTCTCTTACCTTAGTCTTGGTAAAGCCCTCCTCGAACAGCCACATGTCCTAAGGGTCGATGTCGGAGTCAGATTCATAATCCTCAACCACGGCGCCCTTCCCCCTCTTATTGGCCGAAGAAGGGGCGTGGTTCTGTCAAAATGTCAACGGGCCACCCGAAACAGTAACGGTAGCCTCGGAACTCCGTACCTCTACCATAATAGCCCCTTGAACGCTTGCAACAGGTGTCTTCTCCACGTCCAGGTTGGCACCATCACCGGTTTTGGGTACCATCGAGGCAAGGTCGACCCTTTGGCTACAGAATACCCTTCCAATACTACCATTCATCTCTTCGACGGGGCCTCTCCACTACCGACGCGAGAAGATTTGCTTGTTAAATGGACTACAGGAACCGGAGTCTCCGATTGAGGAGTAACCTCCAAGCGTATGGCTTCGGCCACAGGCGCAGTTTGACGAACAGCCAGACTCCCTACGCCATCGCATGCAGTAGTTCTCAGTGCAGGCTGGGTAGAAGGCACCGGTTGACAAAATGCGAGTGGAGGAGCCCTCATCCTTCTCACTCCTCTCCGACCTGTCAACAAGAAGGGATCTGATCATATGACAACAAAGTTAAAGAAACTATGAAGCAAAGAACAAGGTAAAACCACGATGAGCCAACTCACCAGTAAGAGGCTTACGCCCAAACTTCTCCTAGAAAGGTGCCCACTCACGAATCCCCATTGTGTGGAAGAGAATTACGCTCACCTATTCGCAGATATCAGCAACTAGCGGGGGAGGTAGTCTCTCGGCTGTAAAAACAAAAGCAAATCCTTAGTGAAGTCGTTAGAAGGAGACGACTGATGATCGTCTTAAGAAAAAATTGCATAAAGTAAACAGGAAAACTCACAAGCGAAGCTCCACATCTCAGGAAACCCTATTTGGTTCGACACGACATGCTTTGTTCGAACATAGAAGTAGCTCTCCCAAAAGCGGCAGTTGGCCTTATCGTCTATCTTTACTACCAAACTCTTGGTCCCTCCACGACGTACATGAATCATCGTACCCCGAAGAAAATGGGGGGCGAAGAGGTGGAGCGTGTGCCCTAGGGAGATTCCTCGGCTGGACACCTTTGCATACTTGATGAGCATAAGGAAGAGCTTGTACGCATACGGAGAGAGTTGGGTCGGGCACACCTCATAGTAGCGGCAAAAATCCACCACCAAGGAAGGAAGGGGAAGCGTGTACCCAATAACAAAGGGATACGCATAAAACGCGTAGTAGCTCAGGCGGTGTAAATGAAATATATCCTTATCTGCCGGCACCATTTCAATATGATAAGGGATCCCCCATTTGGCTTTAAACATCGTGATCGCCTCAGCATCTATCATGGAAGGAACAAGCTTCGGTTCATCTCCGACGGGGCTATTGAAATTGGTCCTCGCCTTCCCCGGGCTGGGAACCACCTCATCCACCAACGGAAACCCCTCATCTTCCACCACTTCCACTCCCTCTTTGAGTAGGGATACATCATTCTTCAGCACCGGAGCACCTACAGCTCTGTCAGAGTGGGAAGAAATACTAGCCATTTGTTTTCTTTGATCAAAAGAAATGAAGATGATGAAAGAAAAAGATAATGGTCACAGTGAATCCTAGTAGAAGCACAAATATGAGAGGTTAAGGAAAGAGGAGAGGACTTATGAAATTCTCTCTTAAGCAATTGGAAAAACGTAACATTCAAATGAGAGGCTCCCCCTATTTATAGGGATATAAATGCCCTTAACGGGAAAACCAAGAGTCGCCAGTTAAAAAGCGAAAAGGGCACATGAAATGACACAATACCTAGGAAACGTGCTCCATAATGATGCATGGGGGATCTTGATGACATCCTAAACTGATGTGACAATCTAAATTTGAACTGACGTAACAACCCGAAGCGGTTCTCGAAGCGTCACGTTGCCACCTTGACATGAGGTTCTCTCCCCCCGCATAAAACATTCAGATTTCTCCCAATTTTTGAATCAACAGAGTCCGCCCATCGAGCTTACCAAGAGGCGACCTCAACGGGCAGATGGACTAACTGTATAGGTCAAAATCTAACCACATGTGGATTAGTGCTGAAAAGAATGGAAAGAGGTCGACTAAGTCGTGGTCGTACCCACAAGCTATAATAACAACGCGCACCTCGGCCATTGTCGATATCGAGCCATCAAGAAGCTTGTATGGCAAAGTAAATGTCGTGATACTTGAGGGAGGCGAAGCAAAATACAATCAAGGGATGAAGGCATTCTGGTTAAGGACCGTTAGACAAAAGGGAATATTGAAAATATATATAGGAGGTAAGAAGACAAGAAAAATGGGGCTTCTCTCCTAGAGAGAGAGAGAGAAGAGGTAAAGTAAACCAAGAAAAGGCTTAGATAGCAAATACAAATCTCTGTAATCGTGATTATTGAATCAACGAAGATAGATCTCGTTACTGTCGATGGCATTCCATCTTTTTTGTCTTTACCACCACGTTACGGGATAATATGTCAAGAATATAAGCGTATCATCTATATTTGATATCTTATATAATACCAGAAAATTTATGAACTTGATTGGAGTATATCCTATTCTCTTATTTGATGTGCTTAGATCTAGAGTTAATTATCCTTGGCTAAGATTTATCCTCTATTTCATTATTAATTAGTTTAACAAAAAGTTTAATTCCTTTTGGTCAAACAAGATGGAGTTAAAAAGAAAAAGTAAAGTAAAAGGTAAAATAATAGTAATGGCAAGAAGAAAAAAAAGATACTAATAATCCTACAATACTAAATTAGTTATACTACTATTTTTTAAGTAACAACCATAACAAACGTGTTTAACCAAAAAGTAGAACTTCTATCAAAGCTTTAATTTAGAAGAACACAGGTTACTGATAATCAAAACTGAATAAAGGAAAGTGATTTTGCCAACAATAAGATAGACAGAAGAAAACAAAGTAAACCAGTATATTCAAATGATCTTTTGTGTACTTATAAATGTCCAGTTTTCTCATTTTTATAGCTATCTCTAAGATATACGTTTTTCCTTTGTCATAATCAGGCCATTATAGACAATTAAAGACATTAAATGTTACGTTACATAATCATTGTAATTTAATACAGATTGTCTAACATTTTTAGTATTTAATGTTTATTAAATACTGTATTTGTACTGTCTTGTGCTATCAGATTCATTCTCCTTAATTTGTGGATCTAAATAGGTATGAGCATCGAGTCTTTTGAGTAATTGCTCGTGCCTCTACTTGTGCCTCTGTTCGTATCTGTTGCAACTCGTGCCTCTTTGCTAATCATCATTCTTTGACCAGCCTTCATGTCATGACACATTATCTTTCAATCACTTCAATATGTAAACTCAATTTTTCCCAATACAGATAGTCACCCCACTTGCCATTTATTCATCAATTGAATATTTGGGAAGTGAATTTTATTAAAGTGGGAATTTTTTCCGCCACTAATGCTATTGTAGAATCGACGCTTCAATTGTCACTTTCATTTAATGATTATTACACGTGGCATCTTTTTATTGGTTCTATGACTTTGCAACGCTTTTTAAGGCTCTTTTACAATTTCACCAATTACGAAGCGGCAGTTCTCATTATGACTTTTCCATCATTGCACCTTTTCATTTGACGATTGCTTCTTAGTATAAATATAGTTTTTTGCCTTTGTCCTTATCACATAAAGTTCTCTGAATATTCAATTCTTCAATTTTTGTTTGCTTCTTCCTCGTACTATCATGTCTTCATCAAACCCTAACCCTAGAAGAGTCCCCATAGTTGATAACTTTCCTCTTGCCCCTAGAAGAAGCAGAAGTGGAGGTAGACTTCGTAATTTAGGTTCTTCATCCATACGAGATTCTTCTTTTTTCATCTAGTTCCAGTCTTTCTTTTAGAACTAGAGGTTCTTTTTCTCAAAGGTCTTCTTCTAGAGATAAGGAACCCTCTGAACCTGTTCGTGAACCTACAGTAGAAGAAATAGTTCCTGCGGAACTATCTTTCTATAATGATAGAGAGTCCCTTAGGAACCAAGTGTCTTCTTTAGATCGTGCTGATATCTATCCAACTCAGATCATAAAGGGTCTGATTTCTTTAGTTCATAAAGACTGTCATTGGAGTCATGACTTCCCTATCATATTTCCCAATGCGAATCAAAGAATCACCTCCTATTTAGTTGAATTTTCCTTTGTTTATACGTATCCTTTCACATTAGGATTCAAACCTGCTATTGATCCTGTTATTCTCGAATTTTGTCATTTTTTCGATGTTTGTTTAAGTCAAATTGGCCCTATAGTGTGGAGGGTTGTTGCCTGCTTGAGGCATTTGACTAACATGGCATGTGTGCCTTTCACTTTTGCCCATTTAATTCACCTTTACTCCCAGACTCTTTTGCCAAGGTGTTTTTACTTTAGTAGCAAGGAGCAAAAGGGTTCTGATCAGTCCAGAAGATGACAGAGACCGTGGCTGGTATGCCAGGTTTGTTGCTGCCCCCACTGTTGGTTTAGTGGGTGATGAAAATGTTCCCTTCCCTGAGAAGTAGAATTTTGCACGTGATTTTTCCTTTTAATAACTCTCTCGTACCTTTTTCTTCAATTTTGATGATCATTATTCAAATTTTCCTTTTCTTTTTCAGCAACCGTGGGAATTGTTGACGAAATTCCCAATTTTCGTGGTTGGTAGGAAAGTTGTTAAATACAGCCCCAATGGAGGGAAGATCTTAGAAGAATCTTTCCCAACGATTTGGTTCAAAAGTGAAAACTCATGGTAAGAGTTTTTTTTATTAAACTCTTTATTTTTTTCAGAACTTATTTTAATCCTTCTTTTTATCAGGATTTTCCGTTCGAGGGATTAGTGCTGAGGCGGTCAGAGCTTCCCGTATTTCTTTGGAAAGAGCCCATGAGATAATCTTGGGTTCTTCATCGAAAAGGAAAGCTGCAAGTGACCAAGACTCTGAAAAAGAGGAAGATGGGGGTTCCTTGGTAAAGGCCACGAGCTCGTAGGCGAATCATTTCTGATGATGAAGCATCCCCCCTCATTTTGTTCCTCTTACCGAGTTTATTGAAGCCTCGGTGATGATCCCTGATGATAAAGTTCCCGTTTCTGCTCATGATTCAGTTGAGCAACTTTTTAATCGCGGGTTTAGTGGTGAAAATTTAGGTCTGATTTCTGATGAAGCACCTCTTGCTTCTTTTCTACTCCCATTCCTGTGATTCCTCCTTTGTTGGTCGTGGCTGTTACCGTTCCTCCCCAGGCTATTATGACTGCTTCCATAATTCCTCCCTCGACTACTCCTTCTTCAACTGTCCCTTACTCAAAAGTTGGTTCTTCAAGTAGGAGTGGTGCTATGAGGCGAGTTACCATTGAAGTCCCCACTGAAGGTAACCTTTTAAGGAAATCAGGTCAAGCTGACGTGTGGCTAAAGACTTTGATTGGTCCAGTTGAGAGAGCTAAGCTTGATAGCCATAGTTCTGTGACCTTGATGAATGATATAGTGCATGCTTCTTTAAAGGTATTCCTTTTTCAAGCTTTAATTTGTCATTTTTCTATCTTCAGGATTCTCATTTTTTCCCCTCTTTTTTTAGGTCAATCTAATTGGAACGAAGATGATGAAAAGGGTTACCCTCTTAGAGCAATTAGTGCGTGACTACCAAGTGGAGGCAGATAATTGGAAGGAACAGTGTGAAAGTCTTCAAATCGACGTGAAAACATTAGAAGAAAGTAAATTTACCTTAGAGCAGCAGGTACGGGCTTTGAATTCAGAGTTGGCAGTTGAAAAAGCTTCTTCAAATCAAGCAGATAAGGAAAAGGCTCACCTGGAAACCTCTTTTTCTAAGCAATTGTCCAAGGAAAGTGATGAAATTAGAGAGTTGAGGGATCTCTTGGGTGAAAAAGAAGCATATGCTGGTGAACTCATGCAGAATTTGACTCAAACTCAAGAAGACCTCCGGATATCTTCTGATAAGGTTTGTTCTTTAGAAAATTCTCACGCTTCTCTTCAAGCTTCTTATGAATCTACCTTGGCTGAAAATAAAAAGTTAAGAAATGAAATTGCTGACTGGGAAAGAGATTACTAGATCCTTGAAGATAAACTGTCATTGAAGTGAGTTGGGCTTTTTTAAATTCTCACTATGATACCCTCGTTGAAGTTAGCCGGGAGAATTTTAACTTGAAATCTGAGTTAGCCAAGATCAAAGAGACTATTGATAAGACTCAGCAGAACCAAGATTTTTCTTCTCCCGTGGCTTAAGTTTCTGAAAATGTTGAAGATGATACGGGTATCCCCACTCCTTTAAGTCAAGTTGAGCCTGCTGTTGTGGATGTCCCTGCTTCAGTTCCTTCATCTTCTCAGTGAAACGTTTATGTTGTTTGAATTCCTTTGTGTTTTTTTTCTTTTGGTGGTATGTGATTGTGACCCTTGGTCTTTTTAAGGGTTTATTGAAAACGTTAAGTCCCTAGACGTTTTATAGGGCACTTTGTATAAACAACTTTTAGTTTATGACTAAGTTCATACTTAGTCTAAACTTTTTAATATTAAGAAGTTTCCGTTGCTGTTTGAACTTCTATTTTGTTTATTCTTGCCTTTATTTTTAAGGACTTACTGAATAACTTGCATTTTTATTCTTCAAAAATGCTTTTGTTAACTTCATGAATACTTGAATTAAGCATGAATTTTATAAAATAGGGCCCTTTTATATTCGACACTTAATGAAGAAGACGTCTCAACTTCATAATGGTGTTAATGTACGACAAAAGAAATAGGAATACACATGTTTCTTGAAATAACTTTGACGAGTTTTTATTTTAACTTTTGTCAAGTTTTAAATAACACTTTACATGTATTTGAATTACTTTTATAACTTTCTCACAACTGTTTTCCTTATAACAGATTTCAAAAAAGAAAATGAACACAAGGTTTTTCCTTATAACCCATTTCAGTACATTGCCTTTACCCTAACTATGATAAGGTTTGGCCTTAGCTCGTGACTTTGCTCTGCACTTGACTCATTCAATGAGTGAATTTATCAGGCTTGAACTTTGATTATTTCCCAATCTTCTTTGCCTTCTTTATACACATGTCTATGCATATTATATAGTCCCCCAAGTGTTTGAGCTTTGAAGTATGAAGTCTCGAGCACTTGATTGTTCCGCTCATTTGGTCCTTTCCCTGAAAAGGAAAAACACACAGGACTTGGAGGTGTAATTATAGATGAAGACTGCTTAACCCGTCTGAATATCTATCAGAATAGTTGTAACCCTAGACCAGGAATTTTAATTTATTCCACGTGCCTTGCAGGCCGTGATTCATTATTTAGTACGGGCTAGCTTTTTGCCTATCATCTAAAATCGTTAGTAAAATTTTAACAATTCAAAAATAAAATTTTAAAATATGGATACCTGACCGTGGGTATTCCTTAGAAATAGTATCTCTTTAGGTGAACAGCATTCCAGTGTGAAGGTAGTATCTTGTCATCCATCGTTTCCAGCTTGTATGCTCCTTTTCCTGCGATACCATGAATTTTGTAGGGTCCTTCCCAGGTTGGACTCAATTTTCCCGCATTAGCCGCCTTCGTAGATTGAAAAACTTTTTTGAGCACGAAGTCTCCAATCTTGAAGTATCTTAGACGCGTTTTTCGATTGTAGTATCATTCCATGACCTGCTTTTATGTTGTCATTCTTATTAATGCAGCTTCCCTTTTTCCTTCAAGTAGATCAAGGTTTATGCGCATTTCTTCGTTATTGGATTCTTCTAACGCTTGTGTAAACCTCGTGCTTGGCTCTCCTATCTCAGATGAAATTAAGTCTTTAGATCCATAAACCAATGAGAATGGTGTTTCTCCCGTACTTGTTTTTGTTGTTGTTCGATACGCCCATAAAATACCAAGTAGCAATTCTGTCCATTTACCTTTGGATTCCTCCAAACGCTTCTTTAAATTGTTGATAATGACTGTTTGTTGACTCAGCTTGTCCATTACCCACCAGATGATAAGGTGTGGATGTAATCCTTTTGATATGCCAACTTTGAAAAAACTCTGTGATTTGTGCGCCTATAAATTGAGGGCCATTATCACAATCGATTTCCTACGGCACACCGAATCAACATATGATATTTTGCCAAATAAAATCTCTAACTTCTTGTTCTTGCACCTGTTTGAATGCTCATGCTTCCACCCATTTAGTAAAATAGTCAGTAAGTACAAGCAAGAATTTTACATGTCCTTTTGCTTGTGGTAATGGACCCATGATATCCATTTCTCATTTCATAAATGGCCACGGTACAATGACCGGATGTAACAACTCTGCAGGTCTATGCATGTTATTACCATATCTTTAGCATTTATCACATTTAGCCACGAAATTTTCCGCTTCTTCTTCCATTTTAGGCCAATAATAACCTGCCCTAATCATGGTTCTTACCAATGATCTTCCTCCGGCGTGATTCCCACAATGCTCCTCGTGTATTTCTCTCATTACATATTCTGTCTGAGAAGGCCCGAGGCACCTTGCTAAGGGACCACCGAACATTTTTCGATAAAGATTGCCTTTCTTTAAACAATATCGAGCAGCCTTTTTTCGAAGCGCGTGGGCTTTTTTCTTGTCTTCAGGGACGGTTCTATACTACAAAAAAGCAACAGTCTTATTCCTCCAATCCCAGATTAAGTTATTAAAATTTACCTCATTTTGTCTGGATCGAGTACTGAATGAAACAAATGAATTACGGAAGCATTTTCATTGCTTGCCACATTTGATGCAGGTGTGAGATTGGCTAAGGCGTCCGCCTCGACATTTTCATCTCTTGGTATTTGCATAACTTTCCAGGTTTGGAATTGCCTGATCAGATCCAGTACCTTCTCTAAGTACTGCTGCATCCGTGCTTCCTTGGTCGTATAAGTCCCCAGCATTTGATTAACTACGAGCTGCGAATCGCTTTTGATCACAATCTGATTAATGTCGAGTTTTCATGCTAGTTCTAAACCTGCAATCACAACTTCATACTCTACCTCATTGTTAGTTATAGAATGACATTTAGTGGCTTGTCGAATGGTTTCACCCGTAGGTGGTACCAAAATAATTCCCAAGCCTGCACCTTTCACATTAGATGAACCATCAGTAAATAAGGTCCAAATTCCGGGATTAGATCCGTTGAACACTTGTAATTCTTTTTCTGCTTCCAATTGCATTCCTTGGCTAAAATCAGCCATAAAATCTGCTAACACTTGAGATTTTATCGTGGTTCTAGGCTGGTATATGATGTCATATTCACTTAATTCTATAGCCCATTTGGCTAACCTACCTGACAACTCATGCTTGTGTAATATATTGCGTAATGGATAAGTAGTTACTACAGCAATAGGGTGACATTGAAGATAAGGCCTTAATTTTCTAGATGTCATGATTAGTGCAAGTGCAAGCTTTTCCAATTGAGGATACCGCGCCTCCGCATCTAATAAAGATTTGCTGACATAATAAATCGGAGATTGTTTACCTTGATCTTCATGAACTAACACAACACTTACCGCTACTTCGGAGACAGCAAGGTAAATGAGCAATCTTTCCTCAACTTTTGGTTTTGCAAGCAACGGCGTATTTGATAAGTATGTCTTCAAATTTTTGAGTGCCTGTTGACATTCCTCAGTCCATTCGAACAGATCTTGCTTTTTAAGAGTTGAAAAGAATTTAAAGCACTTTTCTGATGATTTGGAAATGAATCTCTCCAAGGCTACAATTCTTCCTATCAACCTCTGCACTTCCTTTTTACTTGTAAACATGTCAGGGATCTCTTCAATGGCCTTAATCTGTGCGGGATTCACTTTAATACCATGATTAGAAATAAGAAAACCCAAAAACTTACCTGATGCAACACCGAATGCACATTTCTCAAGATTTAATTTCATATTAAATTTTGCAAGATCTTAAATGTATCAGACAAGTGTGATATATGACCCCCTAATTGTTAAGTTTTAATGAGCATATCGTCTATATAGACCTCCATAGTTTCTCCCAAATGTTCTTGAAACATTTTGGTCACTATTCTTTGATATGTTGCACCAGTATTTTGAGACCAAAAGGCATTATTTTATAACAGTAAGTCCCCCTATCTGTTATAAATGAAGTTTTTTCTTCATCTATAGGATCCCTTTTGATCTGGTTGTATCCTGAATACGCATCTAAAAAGCTTAACAGTTCATGTCCTGCAGTAGCATCAATTAGTTGATCTATATGTGGTAATGAAAAAGAATCTTTAGGACAAGCTTTGTTAAGGTCTGTGTAATCTACACAAACTCGCCATTTACCATTCTTTTTCGGTACCACAATAGTATTGGCTAACCAATTAGGATACTTTACCTCGCGGATAGACCCAATTATTAGTAATTTTTGGACCTCATCTTGAATCACCTAATTTTTGAAAGTTACTTGCTTTCTCTTCTTTTGTTTGACAGGCGGATATGATGGGTCTTCATTTAATTTGTGAGTCATTACCTCTGGTGGTATCCCTATCATATCAGAATGGGACCAAGCAAAACAATCCACGTTAGTTTTCAAAAATTCAATCAACTTACCTTTCATGTCCTGGCTTAGATTAGCCCCTACATAGACTTTCTTTCAGGCCATTGTATGGATAATACTATAGCCTCCAGTTCTTCAATTATTGTTTTGATATTTTCGTTTTCCTCTGGTTCTTGAATGGCATCAGGCCTTGAGTCCACATTTGTTCGCCCTTGTTCAGTTGAGGTTTGCGTTGTGGTACCCTCAACTGGATTCTGTAACTGCTATTTTTCTTCGTTTCTCGTACTTGAATCTGTTACAGAGTTGATGCTCCTGGATGTTTGTTGATCCTCACGGATTTGACATATTCCCCATGGTGATGGAAATTTAATTACTTGGTGTAAGGTTGACGGAATGGCATCCATCTCGTGGATCCATGGTCTCCCGAGAATCATATTGTAAGTCATCTCCATATCTACCACCTGAAACTTTATATCTTTGACAACTCCTTCTGTGAATGTAGTAACTATTACCACTCTTTTCGTCACGACGCTGGAATTGTCAAATCCCGACAAAGTATGCGCCTTTG